CACCTCGCAAGTAAGTGACACTCTTGACAGCTGGATCGCAGCAAAGCGCAAGCTGTGCTGGACCAAGCTGCGTTTGCACTTAAACCACCATCACCACTCTGCCGACTGTGTTCAATGGTTAACCACAGAGCTACAAGTGACTGCTGTGAGCGCAGAGAGAGAAGAGAGTTTCACATTAAATATAACCTGGCTTAGGCTGCTGTGGAGACAAGCTGAGGTCTGGGACATGGCCAAAGTAATAGTGGTTTTCAATGCTTTGTCAGTCATTACTTTTCTGCCGTGGGGATAAATGGACTCACAAACAGTAATTACAGATCCCAGTCAAACATCAGCAGAGTATTGGGGCAGTGCTTTTGTGGCCTCTACACATGTTTCAACAACACTGCGATATATTATAAAGTAAAGTCCAAGGTGCACCAGTATCCTGCAAGTTAGATTTGCAACAGCAAACAGCAGATGTTTCCAGCGATGATGAACTGCAAGTTGCATGCTCTTCAAAGTTCAACATAAGTCAGAGAAACCACATTATAGTCACCTACTCAAACAGCCAATATTGAGTTAAAACTCCTTTTCCTGCCTGCTATATGCATGCTGTCATAGTTAATCAGGTCAGAGATAACCACGAAGGTTTACCTCTGGAGCGTATTGAAGAAAGTGAGCATAGGAAGGCGTTGTGTAAAAAAGAAAAAATGGTTTAAACATTAACTAGTATAAGTGGCAAGGGGGCAGTAAAGGGGCAAGCCCAGGATGAACTGATAGCAAACTGCTGATTTATCAAAATAAATACCTCACTATGGATGCACTCCTCAGCTGGTATCTGTCAGGCATTTTCAGACTGAATCCTCATCAATTAATCCATTAATCCATCAGTAACCAGCTACTAAATTAACTATTTTGATAATAAAATAATTCATTCAACTGTTTTTAAAATAAAATATAGTCAAAATTATTGAAAATTGGGAAACACAGATCTGCATTTTTTATGGACCAAACAACTAATTGATTAATCAAGACAATAATCGACACATTAAACGATAGGGAAAATACTCATCAATTGCTTACTTATAACAAATGCATTACAAGGGTCGCAATGTACCAGAATTGAACTCAAAAGGGAGTTTCTAAACCTCTATGCTACCACCCACATACACAAAACACACACAGACACACACACAAACACACAAACACACACACAATATAGACTAAATACTTTACTGAGGAGTAACAATAGGAGTGTGCTGTTCGTTGTTCACAGGAGGCTGTGCAGATGAGTAAAGTCTGGATTATTAATAATGAGCCACCTGCACTAGCAGTGGTTAAGTGTGCGCAGTGTGGCAAAGTTGACCCACATCCTGCTGTCATATCCATGTGTGCTCAGAGGGAGGAGGGGTTGGGGGGGGGGTCATGCTGTAATCCTTATGATGTTTTGGTATTTAAAGGATTTCTCCTTTGTCCCCTCACACCATAATTCCATCACTGGAGTTTTCAGAGCAGCCGTTTCAAATGTCATTAATACCAACTGAGAAACGGTGAGAGGTGCAGCGTGTTAACTCTCACATGCTGTTTGTGGCACAGGACACGGCTCCACCCTCAGCTGTAGATGACGTCTGTGTGGGAGTGAAAATTTACAATCGTGGAGATTCTTGACCCCGCGCCGCTGTTTACTCTGAACCAGTGTTTAGCTGTTGTCTGTTTATCTAGAATGATCTAACTCTAGCTCTTGTTTAATAGATCTCTAAGATAAATGCTTTCAGTCACCACTTTACACTTCACACACCACAATATGAAGCATTGACATGTAATGTAGCGAAAAGATGCTTTGTGATTATTTTAAGTGAATGAATGTGACAGGACAGGTAAGGCTCAAAGGGTACATGTATAGTGTAAGACCACAAACAGTAGAACCTTAAGCAAGGATTTAGATTTGGATCTGCTTAATGCATGAACTCAAATATGTCGTGGAGTGAATGTGGGCCAGCAGCAGTAATGTTACACTCTCTGCAAAACATGGCACAGCAAAAACTTCCCCTGGAGTGTTTTATCCATTCAGAAAAATCTCCTGTTTCTGTACGTCATGATCAAATATACTGCGTCATCTATTAACCTCTTCACCACCTATTCACCAAAGATTTAATACACTTGCTTGATTTAAGACTCTCAGAGAGACGATGCTCTGCACTTGGTCACATGTTAATTCAGTGATGGGCTACTTTACAAAATGGTCCGATTAAACCACATTAACAAATACAGTTTAAATATTAAAGTCTCAGAGTTGTCAGATTTTATATAACTAGATTTCCATCCACAATTAGCACGAATTAAAAAAAAAATCTCATTCAGGTGAGTTTGTATCCACCACAGTTATGACAAATAATAGGAGTATTGTCTATTGACATTAAATGATTGATGGCACACAAACTGAAGAAGATGATATTGAAAAGCACCAGCAGAAAACATGATGAAAATACTGCACTTGTTGAAGGCTGAGGTCTAATTATTGCTCCACACAGATCTGCCTCCTCCACCTGAACCTTAAGTGACGCATCTAAGTTTCATGATGTCACATGTAAGTCATGATTAAAGCCCTCAGTCTGTTTCAGTTGCAGTTTTAATAGAACAGGAACTTTTCCACCTCAGGCAATATTAGAATCTTATTATACAGAGAGTTTCTTCTTTCAATTTCCCTTTAGTTTATAATGCACAGATTCACATAAAGAATACTTGAAACTAGAAATCATAAATCATTCTGTTCCTGAACAGTGAGTATATTATTAAATATGTCTTTAATTCATTGGACTTCACTGCATCAGTCAGTATTGATATGTTTGTCACAATGGGAGATTGTGTGTTAACCCATTCTCAGCAGATCCAGGTGGATATGATAATATTTTTAGATCATTTGGTTATCTGTAGCAGAATTGTTTTGCTGTCCATCCTAAAAAACTATCCTCCACTTAGCTCCTCCGACATTGATCACAACTATTTGCAGTCTAAACTCAGTCAGACTTCTTTCTTCTTACAAACTCTGCGCTTTCTCCTCGGCTTACCAGCGCAGAAGACGTGATAAGCCTGAACAAAGTCTACTTCCAAGGTTTATCCCTCAGACTTTACAAACTCTAATCTCACTGAAATGTGTATAAGTAGATACAACTTAAACCCTTGCAGCATTTTCAGAGTGGCTCGGCTTTCGGTATCACAGGAGGTGTTGTCCCTGTCATAAAAGCTGTGCACACTACATGAAGCCAAAGCAAAGCAATTAGGTCCCATGATTTACTCTGCCCGCTTTAATAGGGATGTGAGGGCCTCCCAGATGGAGGTCATGGTTCTTAACCTAGCTCCTCAGCTACCGAGTTAATCAGTTTGAAACATGTGTTCAGTTCAACACTGACTGAAACATTCAGGCTTTATCGCTGCAATTCAACTTTTTCTTCAGAGTGTGCCACAAGGCCATAATGATCAATAATTATCAAGTGGGGAACTGATAATTAACACATTCTTTCCCTCAGTCGCACATTAAAAACCCACATGTTGTCCACACTTGTCTTTGGCTTGTGTTCCACTGAAGTCACTGCTGAGAGGCAAACTGCCTTCTCCACAAACAGCTCAAGCAAAAAAACGTAACACATCACGATGCACCCGGGGAAGTGCAGCCAGCTCGCCAAGGTAAGGACTGCATGGGCCTCTCAAAAAGCAATTAAGGCTGAGAGAGTCATAATATTGAATGGAGAGAAGGGGGGTGCATTCCTGTGAGAGAGGCAGCAGCAGTAGACTGTGAAATTCATATTGACTGGAGAGGCAAACACACACAGGTAAGCAGGAGAGCTGAGCTTTTTCCACCCTGCTTGTCACAGCAGAGAATGGTGCATGTGGTTCGGGTGAGGTCAGCCATCCAAAGATGCACCTATACAAAAACCTGTCTGCAGAAAACCTTATAGAGCAAAAAAAAGACGCAGTTTACAGCGTGCTCTAAAAAACAACACAGCCTTTGTGTTGAGAACGGAATAAAATGATATTTGGGAAATGAGAAAAACTGCTGAGCTCTGTGTGCGCGCTCACCGATGTGTTAAATCCTGCTTGATTAAAGCAGGAAAACGCCTTCAACAATGAACGGTGCCAGTCCACTTAATTAAGTCAACTTGTACGAGGGAGCGCTGGGAAATGGAAAGCAAAACAAACAGGGGCACTGCTGCTGCCGCCGCCGCTCGCTCCCTCGGCTTTTCTCTGGATGCTAATCAAAGGCTTGATCTCCGAGCGGGACAGGCCTCGGGGACATCGCTCTGCTTGGCTGATCCTGGCAATTTGCTCTTGATAATACCCCCCTCTCTCTCTCTCCCGCTCTCTCATTGCGCCCCTCAGAACCAGGCAACCCGTGTCAAGTAATCTGCGCGGCCGCACAAACACAGCCCCCTGAATACACGTCTACCTCACCATGGGAATAATCACATAATGGCTATAGAGTTATTACATGCTCCACATTATCCTGTCTCCCTTTGTGCCGCCAATTTAGGGATTCCATAATAAAGATGATTGGAGATAAAGACGCTGCATTTGATTAACTAAAACAACAATCTCCAATGTTGTTTCAAAATGCGTATGAGTGAGACATACAGTACATCTTTGCTTTGTGCATCTGCTCGGTTATTGTTTGCATTTTTAATTGTTTGTATGATATAGGCCAGTGGACGTATCTGGTGATTATTACAATGCCTGGAGGTCTGAGGAGAGTATGGGGGGGCAGCAAATGAGAAGTGCATGATTTGTTTGCGATCTGCTCTGTGTTGAAACACGAGAGCGTGGCGATACTGTAAGTTCTTCCTCTACAAAAACCTTCAGCAGTTATCAAAGCCACAATCTCTCCAATTGCAGATCTGTCACATCGTCAGTCATTCGGCGAGAGAGCATATGGCAAGAGTTTGAGAAAGCAGCAAATATGAGTTTGAAACATTGCGGCACCAAACCAGGAGTAAAAGGCAGGAAGGATGAGGGTCATGGCTTCTTACCTTTGAAGGAGATAAAGACGCGAGGCGCGGCCAGCGAGTCGTTGCCCACTGGGTTCCCAAGTACGAGGCTTGACAGTGCCAGGAGGGCGTGGACCGTCCACAGACCGTCCAGCTGCATGGTGGACCAACCTCCAGAAGCAATCAAAGACTGATTCTTTTTTTGAAATCTCTGCGGGGACAAAAGGAAACATGTGAGAAGATGCTTTCTCAACTTTACACTGCAAATGAAAAAATCTAAATATCTTATTTATGTGTTATGTCAAATCAATGGCTCCCAAGGGTCCCATCAACACAAGTTTTGGTGACAAGGCTCTGAGGTGCAGAGTGTTCACCCACATCTCTGAAACCCTCTGCAGTGCAGCCAAGCTCTTTAGAGACGTGCACGTTCTTCCATTTGGTAAGAATTATGTTTGTTTTTCAGAGGGTGACGAACCGATGGAAACACCACGCTGACTCCAGTGAGCCAGGCTTCTCTTCAGCTCCCCTCCACACACACCCACAACACATTCCTGCTCTGTGACACCATACCTGTGCACTGCTCTGTAATTATGGCTTCACCTAACGCCAGGTCACACCACATCCTCACACATAGACATTGAGTTATGATCGGGGCAGTTGACAATAAAATATTAACTTAAAAGGCTTGCTAAATGGTTTACAGATGATGGGGGATGCTAATGACACGGTTTAACAAGACTTCCAAACAATGCATGGTGACCTTTAATTGGGTCTCAGAGTAAATGAATGACAGGCACCAGGGAGCGGCCACAGTATTCCACACATACATCACAGATCATCAGAGATGCTGGTCACCTCTGATGCTTGGCCACTCTCCATCAAAACCACTATTGGTCCATTTTATCATCTCCACCACCTCTACAGCCCAAAACACTTTTTTTCTCCACCACACTTAGTTCACATTGGGATCCACTCCAGACATCTTGTCACGCCACATCTCTGCTCTACAAACACTGGACGTTTGGACCGGGTCTCCATCTCAAACACACCTTCTGAAGCCGGCGGTGGAGCCACAGAGTCCTGCAGGCTGCCTGGCTGCAGTGGATTTATGAGAATAAGCAGCTGTTTAAACCTCAGCTGTTTACTGACAATTTGTTAACCATCCAGCTGTTTATTCTGAGACAGAGGCCAAGTCCTTCACACAAGCTCATGAACTCAAACAAGACACTGGGGATTGTGAAAGAGTCCTACACTCACATTACACTATGAAGCTGAACACACCAACTCTCCCTGAGTCAATTTGTGCAGTAGAATTAATGCGTGCTGTATGTTCCAAGTTTACAAAAGGAGCGTTCATGCAAATATGTGATCACACTGATGCAAATAAATCTTCAGAAAAAAGCAGATCAGAGCCACTGATGCTTCTTTATTGAATATGTCTGCAGGATATGAAGTGTAAAGGTACTGAAAGTTACAATGTGTGACCAAAGACAAAGGGGCTGAGTGTGTAAAGTTGCAAAATAGCACTCCTGCAGATTCCTGCTGGTTTATTCATTGAATAATAATGGATCCACTCTGATCATCTGTTACATTTCATAACTGAGACGAATACAAATACTTCTCTGGTGTGAACAGTGACAATGGCACCGATTTCAAACTTTTGCATGATCTAATGAAGAAGAAAAAAATGCTGAAACATAATAGTGTGTGTGTAACAGACTGGCAGCCTTGGCCACACATGGACGACAGAACTGTAAACAGTCTGGTGCGCTATTGGAGCGCGCGCTAAACCGAACAGCAATTAAAAGCATAAAGAATTAAAGCTGCGGTCTATGTGATTAATATTTCATTTAGATATTTACTTTAAAATTAAAGAAGACACTGGACCATGCTGCAGGTTATCAGATGAGAAATTAAAAGCGCGCGTAAGATTTAATTAGATTTTCAACCAAATAAATGAAATAGAAAATAGAAAGCGAAGACACAAGACAAGCTTACCTTGCAGATTACAGATCCCCCGAATATATAACTTCAGATCCAGGCTCTTAAGTCATTGAACAAACCAATTCCAACAGATCGCTCACTTTCGCCTCCAAGTTGAAATGAACAATAATCGGAGCAGAGAATCCGGGCGCAGCCTCGGGATCAGTCCCTGGTGCTCAGCTACCTGCGCACTCTGCGCTGTTAGTGGCCCCGGAGCTGTCGCGCTGCGCGTCTTGTGAGAAAATGTTTCCCTAGTTCAATCTTGTGCGAGACGGCGAGACGAGGAGATGTCGTGGTCGCACTACAGCGATCAACATCTCGTGGGAAAGACAGAAGAGACGTAGAAGAAGCAGCAATTGGAAACTAAAGTCCCTGTGGGGGGGAGAGGTCCAGGCATGCAGCGTGCGCTCCTCAGGAAAGTTAAAGCTCCTCACTCACACACTGACTGACTGCAGGGAGGGAGGAGGGCACCAGCAGGTGGATGCACAGGCCGATCTGCCTTAAACACACCCACAGGGCGGGCAGCGCACAGCCGAGCCGCCCATCAGCCAGCTGAGAGACAGGGAGACAGTATTACTGTACTGTGGTGTCAGGGGAAGCATGGACACATTCATCCTTCTGAATCCAGCTGATGATCTTTATTGTTTACGTTTACAACAATAATGATAATATTAATAATAATTCTAATGATAATTTAGTGATTTGCACTGTTGCCTCAGAGCAAAAGGTTCCCAATTTGAATTCCAGCTTGGCGAGGGTCTCTCAATAGCTGTTATCCTGTGGAAGAACTATACAGAGAATTGGGTCCGGACTTTCTCTGCAGTTTTTCTTTCACGAATGAACAATGCTGCAGGAAACTGTCTGCTCAGACACGTTCACAGCAGCAACAAATCCTTCACCTTGTTCAGGCATTATAATATTCTTTGTGTTTTTGTTTCATTCTTGCATCTGAGTTCAGAGCATGTCTGAAAGCAGCTAAAGTAGAAGTGATGGATGGATGATGGATGGATAGATGATGGTCGATGGCTGCGTGGACAATGAGTCTTGACGCAAATGGTTTTACTAACCAACCTTTGAGCCGTAACATTGATTTTGTGTATTGTGTACTGTAATCACTAATTTCTCACAACCTGGCAGCTCAAAAAGTTGTTCTTATTTATATTATATATATATTTAATCATGCCAAATTTTCACAAATGTTATCTCTACGATCACATTTTAAAATCCAGGCCATGCAGGTGAGTTTGTTGTTGCACAACATGACACTTAAACAAGTCAAAAACACAACAGTCACTGAGAGTTTCTATGCTGATATGCTAAATGTGTGCCTGAAAACAGTTGGTTACACATGGAGAAGATACGGAGCAGCATTAGCACACATTTGGACTCATGTGTCTCTTGCTATATGGTGTCAGTCAGTGTTTTCCAAAAAGCATTACACTGGAGGTTTGCGTTTTCCTGATTTATATTACAGAAGACTGAAGGTGCACTCTAGGACCAGAATTCCTTTTCTTAAAAGGGAAAAAAAAGTCTCCAATTCCTCCTGCAGCTGCTATAGTACGGCAGAGTGTCTTTCCCGAAGGAGGTGTTTGCTTGCTTTGGATCAGTCGACTGTATTTTCATCTTCTATCGCTGTGACAACCAGCAAGCCACCATCTGCCACCCACACATGAGGTGTGGAGGCTTAAATGGAGCCTCCGTGTGTTGCCTTCCTCTCAATCAACAAGTGAGTGGCTTCAAAATAAATATTTTTATTATCTGTTTCCATGCTTAGGTTTAGTAATACTTTTCAAATGGTGTATTAGCTAGATAAGATAACTTTCATTAACTTTCCCATTCACTGGGTGAAAGTTTCATCCTTACGTCTATTACAGAATTACACTGACTTCACCCTATTGAATATTTGACCTGCCAAGACAATTTTAGTGACTTAGAGCTCAGACAATGTAACGATTGTTAGCTCTGACTTGTCAGAAATTAAAAGTCTTATCTTGGTTAGAGCCACTGATTTGAAAAAGGTTGAGAAATGTAGTTCATTTGATGGTACACAGAAAATGGTGATTAAAATGTGTAATTTGCTCCTCTATTCACACACTGATTGGATGCTCCAAAGTCCCCCAGGTATAGCGCCTGCGAAGATTTTCTAAAGCCCATTGAGAAAATTAAACATTTACCCATTTTTAATCATTTTTCACACAGCGTCCTTTCACACCTGCATTATCTGCACCTCATTCAATCTTGGGCTTTGAATTGTGTGCACTGGATTCACCATTAAGCCCATCAATGAGCTATGGAGAAAGTTGGTAAGGTGTTCAGCTGTGTGCTCAATGGGGTCAAAAGAAGCTGTCCCGCTCAACTTTATATCACATGACGTTGGCTCTGCAGCCTTAACTCGCAGCGTGACCCAGCATAAAGGTTCTTCTTTAAAGTGACTTGGCAGAGGTAAAATAGAAAAGGATCAGTCTGATGAGTCCAAGTTGACTTCTTCCTCTTCTGGACAGCTTATCTATTTAGCAAAGAGACAGCATATTTTCAGTTCCTTCAGCTCCTCCAAAGCCACATCGCTGCACATTCCTCACCAGGTCCAGTTTCCTGAAAGGAACAAGACAATCAGCTGTTGGCCCAGTACTCCATCTGCACATATAGGTTTTTCTGCTTGATGAGAATCCAAAGTGAGTGTGTACTCTACCCAGAAGGATGTTTTGCTCCTAAGTGGGCCTGAACTGTAATATTTATGATAAAAATCTTGGCAGCATATCACTCCGAGCCGCAGTTGACATCTATTTAAGTCGTGTATAAGGTTGTTTTAATGTTCTGCAAAAGAACCTGCATTCCAGCCGAGGTGTGAGTGCTTTCTGTGTGGCTCTGTCTGCGGGGCATGAACAGGTGCCAGGTGTTATATCAGCATCTGTGGTTATTGCACAGTTCAGGCAAACATCTGCAACAGAGTTCCAGATTCAGTGTGAGCGGACAGATACACTGCACAGGCTACAGAGATTGCATGGTGGAAGTGTGCTGTGCAAAACCATGAAGGATCTCAGGTTCTATCTGGAAAAACATGGAGCGATAAGATTTTTCTGTTCCTGCTGCTCTACTTTCTCTATTTCACAACTTTCCTACTTTCTCTTTTCCTTGAGTTTCCCTTATCAAAATATGTTACAGAACCAAATTTTAAAGTTCACTAATTATCATACAACTTGTTACTTTACTTGCATTACTCTCCTTGGTGTCTTGTTGTATGACTAACCTCCCCACATTCCAATATTGTGTTCACCTTCAGCTTGTTTTCGGAAATAAATTTTTCCCATCAACTTGCTGTCAAAAAGTAATACTGTCATGTAATTTCCAATTTTCATTTTTGTTGCTCAAAGAAATTAATCACTTTTTAATGTTTGCCTAAGTCACAGTTATTTGATCACAACCTGAGGTGTTGTCTCCATGACAGTTTTTCAGGCCTAACTTGGAAACATTCATTCATATGCCCCCTTAAAGCAAAAGTTCACAGAAAAATGAAAATTCACAAATTATCTTCATATTCACTTAACTAGAAACAGCGTCATTTACACCATGTTTTTAGCTGATATGTCCTCTGTTATCTTCCTCTGGAGCCGTGTTCAAGTTTGTACGCACACACTGCAAACAAACTCCCCCCCAAGGGGGCACTTGGTAGCATCACTAGTTCCGGTAGCATCGCTACTTCTGGTAGCAGGCATTTAGGTTAAACATGGTATCAATGTACCAATTTGCCAATAATTACTGAATTTAACAATTAAATGTTTGATAGATCCAGATTTCAACTGAAAACCACTAAATGTACCAAATTCGGATGAATGATTTCTCATAGTAAAAGCATATTAATGCAGCATTTAACCCACTTTAAAAAAGTTCATTTGATTAACAATGTACTCTTTGTTTCACTTTGGCTTTGACTATTTTTCTTACAGTTGAAGGTGAAATGATTCCTGAAAGTATTATGTCTGCGGCTAACACAGTAACTCTGACACACAAACACAGCCGCACATGTGGGCACGTACACGTTTACAATGCTATCAAACAAAGCTACAAAGCCTTGTTGAGCCAACATCCAGGTTTAGTAATATTTAAATTCAGGAGGCAGGTGCTCACCTTATGCTGTGACCAGATAGGAGAAAAGCTTTGCTCCCAGCACTCTCTGTAGATGATGTCCTCAAAGTTATTAGCATTTAAATGAGAAAGGAAAAGCATCATATCAAGATCATGAGGAACTACTTTATACAACAGTATAAAACTTGTTCAACTCAAGAGTGCTAAAAAGAAACTTTTCTAATCTCCTGAGGTGAGTGACGGAATGTGAGTGGGTCGGTTTAACAAGCCAATGAACAAATTAGGAAGTGGATGAGGGAAGAAGGGGATTTCAGACTCTATGATCACACTGAATAAAAGTATGTGACTCCTCGGAGCAGTGCTTACAATTCAGTGTCCACCTTCCCTTTCCCCCTACCTGTGGTTGGTGCCCTTTGAGCAACAGTTTCCTCTGTTGATTTTGGCAGCGTGTGGCGCTCCATACACTTCCCAGACTCCGCAGGCTCAATACTTTACTGCCCGTCTCGCTCCAGCAGCCCCAGGGAACCACAAGCCGCAGCGGCCAGAATGAAGGAAATGGCTTTGATTTCCTTCCACTTTTCACACATCGGTTGAGAAGAGAAACGAGGGCCGTACACTGGTCCTGACCGAGCTGAAATAATAAACCCTTGCCACAGTGTCTGTGTATTGGAAACAATATAATGTGTGTGTTGAGGAACAGGTGAGTTAATTTCTACCCACCACTGGTCTACATCAGCGTTGACATTATGCGAAAGGTAAACACTCTGTAATTGAATAAAATCACAAACCGCGACATCGGCCAAGTTAGAAACACCAAGCTCACTTTGAGGCTTTCAATACAGCTCTGTTCTCTGTGGCTGGCTGTCACTGTACAGCTTATGAACAAATAATCCATCTAGCGAGGGTTGCATGGTGATTTCACCGAGTGGAAGACTCGAGAAACCCAAAAAAGAAACACAACCAAGTCCTCTAGGTGGGTCATATGATTCATACTAAGTGTGCGTCATTTGTCCTCTTCACACTAACTTTCTGGGAGGTTCCCAATGAGGACAAAGTTTATGTTGTGCTGCTATGACCATTATAGGAAAAGTGAAAACTGAATTACATCACTGAGCCACCGAAGTGTTTAGATGCACATAGCATCTTTGATGAGAGGATTGTGTGGTGGGGTGGGAAAAGTTCCTCCTTAACCACAGCATTCCATTTTTTACTCTTTGGTTTTTTTGTGATAACTGGCTCCAGTTTCATAGTAACTGTACAGACATAAACAAGTAAATGAAGAACTGAAATAAACCAGTGCAGAGTGAAAATGTGACAGTCAGTGGGGAAGGATTACTTGGCAAACTTCTCCATTCAAGTAGCTCTAAAATTCTGTA